TCCACTAAACTCAGTCTGGCTTGTCACGAGAGCATAATGACTGTGTTTCATGTGGCCCTTTCAAAGTTCATGTGCAGACGTTCAGCCAACCACAAGAGGAAATTCTGCCATTCAAATCTGCTTTCTTGAGATGATCAGACACAGACAGCTCTGTGGGAAGATGGTTAACGGCACCGGAAATGACAAAGCTTTTCATTCACGCAACGATAAGCTTGCACAAGATTACTGAAACCAACTGCCACTAGCCTGCTGAGACCCTGTCCACAGACATGAATGCATCACAGCCTTCAAGAACTACATCTGGCCTTCCACACATAATGCTTTATTTGACGTGCCAGTTCCAGCAGGCAAAGTCAGAAGCTCTGCTCAAATGACTATAATAATGCAACGTAAATAATTGTTTTGACTCACTATTGTCTCTGATTTCTAAAAACGTCACTGGATTCATTCCACTTGAATAAGCAGCTTTCATTAAAGCGATAGTTCAGCCACAAATGAAATTCTGTCATTTACTCAAGCTCATGCCATTTCAATTCAAACAAAGATATTCACAGATAAAAGAAACTTGTTTCTTCTGTTACTTAACTTTTTAATAAACACCGTGTCATTGCAAAATGAGAAATGTGTAGTTTAACAAACAGACAGAGGCCAAAACAAAGATGAAAACAAAGGTCGCAAAACTACTTTGCAAAAATGATTGACATTGACAATAAATTAAGGCAAAAAATTGTTAAATTGATTAAAAGTCTTAATAAAATAAATCAGTACATCACTTAAGTGACACTTAAAACAACAATAATCTACTTCTGATATTGCATTTTTGTTACTATTAAAGATGATAATGCATATTATATTTTAAAGGGTTAGTTCACCCAAAAATGAAAATTCTGTCATTAATTACTCACCCTGGTGTTGTTCCAAACCCGTAAGACCTTCGTTCATCTTCGGAACACAATTTAAGATATTTCTGATGAAATCTGAGGGCTCTCTGACCCTCCCATAGACAGCAAGGTAACTACCACGTTCAAGGTCCAGAAAAGTACCAAGATGATCGACAAAGTAGTCCGTGTGACATCAGTGGTTCAACTGTAAAGTTACGAAGCTACGAGAATACTTTTTTGCGCAAAGAAAACAAAAATAACGACTTTATTCCACATTTTCGTCTCTACTGCGTCACTTGTGGACGGCGCCACACCCTCGCGTCATGGCACTGTCGTGAACGCGCGTCAGCGCCGCCACACGCTCGCCACACTTGCATACCCATAAATATTAATGCCTATCAAGCAGCCAAAATTAATTATAAATAAGAGTATGTAATAACCATGTTTTAATTGTTTAAAAAAAAAAACTTAATAAAAATCAGTTCTGCATATCACTTAATCCACACTGAAACATAAAAAAATATTCCATAACCATATACATTAATGTATATCAAGCTCCAAAATTCTAAATTAAATTAATCACTTAATATATATAATAAAACTATGCATATAATTTTTTTACTTTTTAAATGATTTTATATGATCTACATATCACTTAATCCACACTTAAGCATAAAATAATCGTCAATGATCAACAATATTGTATATTTTTTGTGACCAATAAAAATTTAATTGACCAATATGAATTAATATTAATATTGATTATCATGATCCAAAATTAATTAATTAAATTGCTTAATTAATGTATATAACAACTCATATTGTTTTACATTTTGTAAGCCTTAAAATAAATCAGTTCTACACCCAAACTTAAACCTAAAAAAAATTCTCTATGATCAACTACCTGCATATTGCAAAAAAAGTTGGTATTCGATACCCATAAATATTATGTGTATGTGACAAAATGTCTATCAAGCTCCATAAAAAGCATCACAAAAGTAGTCCTGTATCAAAGTGATATCACAAAAGTATTGATATCACAGATGTTCAAAAAACACTATATTTATTAGTCATAATAATCAGAACAAATGGTCTTCTGCCAATATAGTTCATTAGCTTAGCTGTAGGCGTTTTAAATTTTTTTTTTTTTTTTACATTTGGTTTGAATATGACTCTTCTAATCAGAACATTTAGTTTCAAAAAATATATTCTAGAACTTTTGATTAGAAATCCTAAATTCAAGCTCCGGGCGCCAAAAGTGGCCACATAATCTCATGATACAGTTCTAATCTCCAGTCCACTGCTGCTATCTAGAAATGCATCGTGATTGGGTGCGTTTGGGGTAAAATTGACTGTGGTTTCAGGCGTCATGCTGTGAATCTGCTGTGGTGAGACACATTTCCTGTTAAAACAGGCTCAAAAAGCTACAGCTACTGTCTGCTGCACTATTACTGCAGAGACTCTCACAGCTGATACGAGTAAATGTCCTCAGAGCAGGTGAGCTGGAATTACGTGTATAGAAAAATGTGTCAGTCTTGTGCAGGATGAGGACATGGACCATTAGTAACAAACCCTGACCCAGTCCACTATAAAAGTCACCATGGATACCAAAAGAAAATCAGTCTCAGGTATGATGCTGCCTTCAGTTCATGTTGGAATGATCACGAGATAAGCACACAGAAAAGCACCTTAATGATGAAAATAATGGGATATTTCGGATTTTTTTCTAGGACCGGACATATAGATTTTTTACAATGTGTGCATATATAGATGGATAGATAGATAGATAGATAGACAGACAAACAGACAGATAGATAGATAGATAATTTATACTTATATTTGTTTTATGTATATTTGTTTTATGTATAGTATATGTTATATACTATACATCAAATGGTTCATAAATATATTTTATATACTATAATATTATTCAGCATATTATTTATAACTAATATTTGTAAAATATAATACATATAAATTGTTTATATTTTATAAACCTTTCATATAATTCACAATCTATACATCTAATCTATTTATTTATAAAATATATTTTATTTATAATTTTACAATATATGTTATAAATAAACATACATCACATTTCTTCAATGCGGCAGATGGATGGCATACTTCGTTCATGCACAGCTTTGAAAACATAGCAGAACATGATAATAATTGACTGACATGTGGTTATTTTAAACCATGTCAATACTGATCAATACTAGCATGGTCACCAATATATCATGCATGCCAAAACCCAAACGTGACAGTGTGGTGACATCAGTCTGACAGCTAAGCTGTTTGTGGAGGGTTTCCCCATAAAAGCAAACAAAAAGGTCACCAGGCAGTTAAGCTTGTTTTTGTGACCCGTGCAGCAGATGGACTGAACTCTGCTGTCTGTGAGACTTACACACCGCATCTGAGATCAAAGACGCCACTGGATCCAGTGGAACACCAGCAGCTGAGACCAGCAGTGCACGTGCTCAGAGATTTAAAGAAATACTTCACCCAAAAGAGAAAAAGCTCTGCATTGACCTATCCTTGTATTGTTCTGAACCGCATGCCTGCATCTCTACAGGAACCAAAAATTGCATTTTTTAAGAATATCTTGAAATGTCTTTAAACATATTGGCTGGCCTTTTTGATATAATGAAAGTGAATGAGGACTAGGGCTTTCAGGCTTCAAAAAGAAACATTATAAAATGTGCATACATAATTTATAATATCATATCACATCTTCAAGCCATAGGAAAACTGTGTGTGAGGAACAGGCCCAAATTTGAGTCAACTCTTTATTCACTTAAAAAAGCTTTACAAAATTGCATTTTGATGCCACTCTCGTGTCCAAACATCACCTTTTCAAATGATCTTGACTTAAATTTCTTTGCTTCTCGAACAATAGTTTTAAACGGTTTGAGGAGACTTGCAATGTAGTGTGTACATTCCCCCCATTCACTTTCATTAACTATCGAAAACAGCAGCCAACATTCTTCAGCTTTTAGGTTCCTCCGGGAAAAAAAGTGAGTCATACAGGTTTAGAATAATTCCTTTGAGGGTGTGTTTTATTGGAGCCGAGACAACATTGCAATGAAACGGTCAAAGGAACCACAGAAAAAATAGAGAATACCAGAGACTGGTATCTTCCTTCACAGTCTTTCTTGCTTTTTCCCCCAAATAAAGCAGGTCCATGTACATCTAAAAAGCACTGCCTAGCAACACTGGGTCGCCAGGATCAGACCCATTCCACTGCCATGCTCTCCACAGCAAGACAAAACACCAGAAGCTCATCATATACATCTGATTCATATCGATCCGGTCGAGCTGAATGGTTTTTTTTTATTGGCTTAAAAGAGTCGGTTCATTAGAATCGTTTGTTCGGGAATCGTGCGACAGTGATCTCGATGTGTGTTTACAACTCCCCAGAAAATAACCGACTCATAAGAATCATTGGTTCGCGAATCGGGGTACATCGATCGCGCTGTTTGTTTTCGATTCACTTTAAATAACCAGTTCATAAAAATAATTTGGGATTCGCACGACATTGATCTCGCAGTATGTGTTCGCAGTATGTGTTCATACGGCTCATACAAGTCTTTTGTTCGGGAATCGGGGTTTTGCTTTTGATTCACTATAAGGAACCGGTTCAGAAGAATCGTTCGTTCGGGAATCGAACTAACACTGATCCCCGCTGTAGAGTCAGTGAATATCAGTGCAGGACAGGCTGTCAAAAACCGAACGCCAGGAAAATCATTCGGTTTTGGTGTTTAAAACCAGGAGTCGGAAACGGTTCTCGGTTCTCAACCCTTTTTAGGAAAAACAAATCGATATAAATCTATACAATAGCTACACAAAGCAGTCATGACAACAATACGCGTAATTTCCTGAAAACTGCTGTTAAATTGCACTAACATATAGTTAACTAACAAACAGCGGGCTTTGAAAACATGAACAGTTCGATGGTTTGTTATGAAATTTCATGTAAATGCGAGTAAATTCCTGCTTTAACACACAAGTTGCAAGCAACTTTGACTCTGAACTTCATATCAGATCAACAGATATAAACAAGACCTATAACGACCGTTTCCAAGCAAATTCATGCAGACTGACAGCTGTAAAACTCACTTTTATGTTTTCCAGAGGTCCAAGACTGTTTAGCCAGACTGGGACTGCGAATGATCGCGCGCCCGGCGGATTTCAACGCGTCCATGATGAATACAGTTTATTGTGACAATTAATAATCCTGAGAGCGCGATCCTCTGCCCGCAGGAAAACTTTTCTGACAGCCTGTGATTTTCTTCCTTTTCCTCGGATGATCCTGGGTGGATGGCTGGATGCACGAACATGCTCGCCACGGCGGGCGGGGCTTAGTATGTAAATTAACCGGATAATGTTCCGTCACGACGCTGCCGTGAGTGGGCGGAGGGCGGGGTTCGGTATGTAAATTATCCAGATAATATTCAGTAGGCGGGGCTTCGCGTGTGTATATAAACAATATGCCTTTTGACTTGTGTGATTAAAACAAACACTAATTATTATTAATGGAAAAATATGTATTTTATAGCATTTAGACGATTTAAACCACGCATAACATTACGGTTAAGAATAATATGAATAATGGTAAAAATGAAATAACTGAATAAAACAATAAAACAGCATTACACAAGCGAATAGAGAAAAATACAAATACTAATCAAGAATATTGCAGATATAAGATGTTATGTTTTTATTTAGATCTAGTGTTAATGTATAAACCTTATTATTATTATTATTATTAGCAAAACAAAGAAATACAAGTAATTTAATATTCTAGTAGCCGATTCTATTAGATTCTGTCATGTAACAGTAAGGGATTTTACACTGTTTACAGAAAAAAAAATGTTTTGTTGTTATTTTAAAAACATTCGCATTCTGATACAAGTAAATTGCACAGCTGCACTACTGAAAAATTTAGAAAAAAAAGAAGAGTGTGTTAATTATGCGAAGCTGATGTGACCTTAAGGTGTTTTTCCATTGGATAGTGATTAAAATGTATCATTTGTATTGGGTTTACTATAATTGCCCATTATTACATTGATAAAATGGATTGCCTGTTTGATCAATTGAAAATTGTACATGTAAGTACAATTTAGCTAAAAATGTAGTAGCCAATTGTATTAGATTCTGTCACTCGTTACTAAAAGTATATTACATTAATGTTTTCCATAGTAAAAATGGTTCAATTGCATTGTTCTTAAAAAATGAAAGAATGAATGACATTAAGGTACGATATGAGCAAATTACACAATATTTCAGAACACTATGACTAAATTTCTCAAAATTAATTTATAAAAACCTACATTTCTTTCCACTGTCACACAGTGTTGCCTCCATGAGGCACGTGGTTCATTTTATGCAAGAAAAGTGGATCTAACAACAAATGTCAGCTTATGGTGTTTGTATATATATATATATATATATATATATTTAGTGACAATGAATAAATACAGAACGGATGAGAAACAGAAACAGTGAATCTTTTCTTTGAGAGCGCATGCAGTTGTCTTTTTCTCCGCTCATCCCTGTCTAAACTCATCCGCATAAGTGCTTCTACACTGACAGCCCATCACCACATGGAGAAAGAGATGGAAAAATGGAAATAAAGAAACTGAAAGGTGAAAGGAAAAGACATTCAAGAGTGTTTCTGAGAAAGAGGTCATTTTGCTTGTCATTGGGCCTTTTGTCAACTTAGGGTGGCATCTTACAACCTCAATGCACGACTCAAAGAGCAAATAGAGACCGGGGCATCAGGTTCTTCTGACCCCTACCGTGACCCACCAAAACTTAGTTTAGTTTCATGTGAAGATGAACAATAAATAGAATTGACCAGGGTCTCGCAGCAGAACAACAGGTTCAGTTCAACAGGTTCAGTTCACTCAGTTCAGGTGATTAACACAAAGAAGAATCCAGATCTTCAGCATTCTCGAGTGACTATGACAGATTCATTCCGATTATTGCAGAAACTAATGTACCTGTTAAAGCAGGCAGTCAGATGAGGTTCTTTAGGGAGGCTGAATGTGAAACAGTGCATCCCATGGGAGTCATTCACTCTCCCAGTTCATCCTATATTACTGGAACTGGAAGCTTGAGAAACGTGGTTGACATACTAAATGGCTCCTGTACATTATTAATGCGTCCGTATGCTGATTAGAGCAAGTCTGCAGCTCATACAGCTTTAACTGGTGAATACATAGATATAGGCTATACATACAGGTCTGGGACGGCATAAGAGTGAACTAATACTATCCACCTTATTTTTGAAGCAAGATTGGGAATGGCCATTTTAACTTGAACGTGCGAGGCTTCCACTTCCAGTTACTTTACCTATACAAAATCAGCAGCCCGTTATGGCTATTTTAAAATTATCATCATCATACACACACAGTTTTACGGTTCACTGCACTTATGTTATTCTTCTGTAATGCACATTCACACAAAATAGCTTATTTCCACGTTGAAAATAACGTGGTTGTGGCATCTTTAAGTAAAAATTGAACAGTGGAGCCCATTAATGTGAAAGTGTGTCCTTGTGTCAAGAGTTTTTACATGCACATCATGCCAGTGATGCACTGAAGAAAGATCGAGTGTGGAACTGTGAGCCTGTCTGCATGGTTATAAAAAAGAGATGCGTTTAATATGAATGCACTGGTTATTTATTCATGCACGTAATAACCTCTTATGAATGAGAGATGAAGGCATCACACTTAGCACTCAGCGAATCTGTCAGCACGAGATGCTGCAATAGTTTACAAACTAGCAACTGCTACCTGCAAAAACATACAAAACATTTTTTTTTAAAATATATATATATATATATTTTAAAAAGTCACTGAGAATATATATTTCTGTCAGATTCCTTTTGTATACTGTACAAATATCTCACTGGATTATTACAATTAATGGCTAAATGAATGTTTGTAAACTGATAATTCCTACTGACAACACTACAGCAAAAGACAGAAATAACTGGCTTAAATTTTTTGTTGTTGAAAATACTAAAGGCTTTTGACTTTTGCA